AAAATAGCTTTGAGCAGCATTCTGAACAATATTTGTAAAACAAAAAATATTGAAAGGTAAGTTTTTATTTATAGATACCATATTTGCTGGCCTATTGGATGCATTCAGATTTTGAAATATTTAAGAAAAATAACTTTGTTCTTAACAATCTCAATTCTGTGACATTAAAACCGATTCCATACTAACAATGCAACTATCTTTCAAAGCCCACCAGGATACTTAGACCTTATTTCTTCTATCCATATTTTCATCCATCCAACCTTTGGGATGGACATAAGTTCTACTCAGTAATTTTTCCTTGGGTAATGTCTTTCTTTTAAAAATCAGCAAAGGTGGCAGCTTTGTGCCATCAGCACAGCATAAGACAAGGGTGTAATGTGTTTTTCTTTTTCATGGCCAGATGTTTTAATAGTAAGTTTGCACTCACCTAGTTTCTACTGTCTTATTTGAAGGCACATCGAAGATCAGAGAAGCTTCGTCCATGTTGCATATCTGTGAAATTTCCAAATTGCCCAGTTTCCAAGAATTAATGACAGACCTGTGGAATGGAATGATTTTATCTTTATATTCAACTGGCACCTTCCATATATATTTTTGTTCTAGCTCCACTTATGTAGGTTTTCTCCTCATGAATCTAGAGCATTTTTGGTGCTGTCTCGATTGGTTTTTTATCCTTTTTGTAGAAGCTGCCCTGACCAAAATCTATTCGTTTAAATATCCACATTTTTAGTTCTTCAATTTCTGGCCATTTTAGATTTCCCTCAGTGGAGATTGTGTTTAGTATCTTTCAACAGCTTCTCTTGTTTTCTCCAACTTCATATCGTTTTTTTTTTTTTTTTTTTCAGTTGGTGGTGCCCAAATTACCATTTCCCTACTTCTGTGTTTCTTTGCGTACTCAATGATACTAAGCTTATATTGAATCTTGTCTGCATTGGTTTTGAGTTTGTGACAAAAATGAATCTAAAATGCAAGAACATTGTAAACACTTTACCTCTGACCAGACAGCAATGCAGTGTATCATTTGTTTAGTCTTGTCTGTCAAACCTGGCTAGATATAGGTCTTAATTGGGTACCCCGGCTTGGTGTAATGGTTAGCAAGCTTGTCTCGCTAGATCAGTTATCACTAAAAAGTGAGTTCGATTCTCACTGGGTGCCCCATACTTTCGGCCTTGTGCCACATCTGAGCTATGCTTGGAAAATCACTATAGGCCTTAATTTATCTTTCCTGGGTGAATATTTCAGGGATATTTTCATTGATATCATATTTGTTCCTATCCAAGAGTCCTAGTTTCAGACTAAGCTCCAATTCCTAGTGAATCCCACTTTTTTCATGGTCTTTATGTCCCTCTGATTCATAGATGATACTGCTATATTGGATGCAGGGTAATTTTATAGGGAAAAAAAAAAAAAAAAAAAAATTATGTCCACTGGTTTAGCAAATATGGTGTGTATATATATATATATATATATATATATATATATATATATAAAAAAAATATGTATATATCAAGAACATTATTGGGGGAAAAATGTATGACAAAGTGGTAAAAATTTTCTTGTGATGTGTTTTGCTCTTTAGGACCTCACTGGACTAAATTTGTTATGTTGGTGTGACTACACATGCTCACAAATGAGGGATGCTGGGAATTAATTTTTTTTTTTTTTTTTAATTTAGCTTATTTCATTTAGATTCTTTTTCTTTTCATCATTTTTGTTAGTAGATATCCCACACTGATAATAGAAGTTCTGCCAGGAATGGTGAAATGTTCTAAGAGCCAGGGCATAAACTTACTGCGGATGACCTTGCGATCAAGGCGCACCCTAGACATTTTTGTTGTGGTGAATTATTTTCTCCATTGATCAGAGTAGCATGACAACAATCTTGACCTAAAAAAATGCTACTCTGATCCAAGGAGAAAACAATTCACCATGACAAAAATGTCTAGAGTGTGCCTTGATTGCAAGATCAACCACGGTAAGTTTGTGCCCTGGCTCTTTCAACATTTCACTATTTCTGAAAGAACTTCTATTATTCACAGTGTAGGATATCTAATAACAAGAGATGGAAAAAAAAAAGAATGTAAATGAAATCAACTCAAAAAAAAAAAAAATTTAAGCCAGTATCCCTGGTTCATGCACATGTATAGTCACACCAACATAATAAATTTAGTCCGATGACATCCTAAAGAACAAAATGGGTCACAAGAAAACTTTTCCCCACTTTGTTTGCCATTTCTTTCATATGGTGGGGAAAAATGTATATCTTTAACTATTGTGTCCACAAAAAAAGAAAAATGGTGTGTCAAAAAGAATAATTATTCCTTTTACACCACTGTTACTGCATACATTTTTGACTCCATCAGCGATGTTTATATATAAGATTATAAAAATATTAACCAAGTACAATGCGATAGTTATTTATAAAATGATAAATAATAAATATGTAAACAACTTTTTTATTCAATCTAATGAATTGTGTTTAACATCTTTGTTGTCAATTCTCAAGAATAAAGACAAAACCCAAACATAAAAGTGGATTTGTAGATTATTAAAATTCTAATGATCAATTTTTAATATGAGAAAACTGTTAAGTGTATACAGTAATAGCAGTGTCAAGGGAATAACCATCCTTTTGACACTTTTTTTTTTTTTTGCAGGCATGTAGGTTAAACATTGCCAAAGGAATTATTCAAAATTGTAACTTAAGTATTGATTTTTTTTTTTTTGTCATGGCATATCAAAGCCAAAACATATTTCATATTGTATGAGGTTGCTTGAACTTAAGCAGTCAACTGAAAAAATAAAAGAAAAAGTCAATACAAAAATGAATTTTTAAGGAGAGCTTTAATGCCAAAGAAATAAATCTTCTCTGTAGCATTGCTGTATATGAAGAATAAGCCAACACCTGGAGGATTGGAATGAATTCAGGTGAGAAAGAACAAAGAAATCCAAAATAGAGAGTCTCTGGGGCTGTTGAAAAGGAGATGGGGGGTGGGATAGGTAGTTCAGGGATGACAAGATGAAAAAGGTAGGTCGAGTGAGAAAAAAAAATAAGTAAAACAAAATGGCTGCTTTTTTTTTTTTTTTTTTGCCTGCAAAATATTTTCAAGTATTGGCAACAACAATAATAATAATCATCATAATAAAAGGTGCTGTTGGTAAGTAGTTGTTATCAACAGGCATAAATTGACTAAGGCAAGGACTTATTTTTCCCAAGAAGTCTGTTAGAGAAAGAAAATATGGTGATATCAATTGATTTTTTTTTTTTTTGCTTTTAAGCTACAGCTATGCATTTTTTTTCCAGTTTTTCCTCAGACTTTAAAAAAACAAAAGTAATTGAAATAACAGCTTTATTTACAGAAGATTCTGAATTCTGTAATTAACCAAAAGAAAGTCAAGAAGTACTTTTAGTCTTACCTTGGCCCCCTTTTCTTTTTTTTATATGAAAGTATTGTATAATTTGTGAAGAAACACACCAATCTGGTTTAATTTATATGTGAAGAAAAATGGTTTAAACTGAAACCGATTATTTTCTCCCTTTAAAACAAAACAGGGGGCAAGATTTGACTGAAGTATAAAACGTTTTAGTTAATTTTAAAAATAACAACTTACTAATATCACTTAGGTATTTCATAAACAAATTGGACAAAAACCTCTCTAGTAAGACAAACGCTTACATCACAGCTGAGGGATATAAGGCTGGGTTAAGACAATAAAATTCACAGTTCAAAACAGGCAATATTTTTTTAAAGACAACTTTCATATTTGTAGTAAAATTTTTAGTGGCTAATTTTCTTGCTTTTTTTGTTTTGGTGGGGGGATAAAAAAAAAGCTTTTGAATTTTAATTCATTTTTTTTTTTTTACTCTAATCAATTATTTGTAACTTTCTCTAAATTTTATCAAGGACTTAGAACTTATTATAAACAAATATGGGGCAATTTCTGCCAATTATCTGACAGTTTTTCAAAACCTGTTCAAGTTTTATCAGAGGCCAATGTTGTATTAGAAACAAGAATTAATTTATTTTGAAATTGTTTAGGCAACATTTAACCAGGAAATAGTAAAGCAATGAAGCTAACTTTTAAAAAGAAAGAAAACAACTAACAAACCTTTTACTAATTTTAACAGAAAAAAAAATAAATGGAGGCAGAGAAAGAAATGCTCAACAAATTCAGTGTCAAAGAATGTTAATTAACCTTCAAAAATAGTTAATTATTCAAGAAATCAATTTTATACTTTAAACATATTAACAAACACAAGATAATAATTCACTTTGTTCAGCCTGGCCAAAATCAATACGTAATGCTGATATTGATATACAAAACTATTTTTTCAAAACAGCATTTCTCAACCATTTTATCCTTTTAGAATTCTTGAAATAGCTTTATATCTCAGATTGATTCATTTTCTACAGTTTATAAACCCTTTTCTGGTTATTTAAAGCCAGAAAATATTTCTAGATTGTAGGAATACTTTGGAGCAGGGAGGAGAGATAATAATGGTTTAGTTATACATTTCTTACTCATTAACCCATAGCCGGAGGGAGAAGAGGTGGATTCATACCTAATCAGAATATAATTTCTTGTTTGTTTATTAAAATGTGGATATAAAGTTGGGGATAAAATCTATATTAAAATTAATATATAAACTAATCCCTCACTTTGTGGCCAGGTAGTTTCTATATATTTATATTACAGAGTGTAAATAAATCTAAAAGAAATGTCTGTGTAGTTAATCAGTGTTTGATTGATCCATTTCCTATGGCTTATCAACCCTTTGCAGGTTATTTAAAGCCAGAAAATATTTTTAGGTTGTGAGAATATTTTTTTTTTTGGAGATAATTAACCCATAGCTGGGGAGGAGAAAAGGTGGATTCATGCCTTTCCAATGGTATTTGCAGGTAAGGGAATATAATTAACCCAACTGAAATTGGAACTCGGCTCTCTGATTAACAATTCTGAGCCATTATCTATTACACCACCCACGAATCCAAGCTTAGAGCATCTGATATTCCCAAGCGGTCACCCCTTTTAGGAACTAACCAGGCTTAACATTGCTTAACTTCTGTGATCATATGGGAACTAGTGTTTCAATGTGATGTGGTTGTAAGGGAACCCCTGCATAAAAATTATTATATACCATTATCAGTATCTGTTTTATATTTTTATTGTAGTTTGAATGGTAAACATAATATATATATAGACAGTGTGTATGTGTCCTGTACTTGAGTCAGTCAATCAATGATATACGAATTTACCATGTACAGGTCCTGTCCACTAACCAGAGAAAGTTGGTTTCACACTGACACCATAAAGACATCAATAAAATACGTTCCCTATGATTTTTTTTAAGCGTTTCACCCCAAGCAAAATGGGAAGCCACTAGGACGCAAGGGGTTACAGAAGGTTTGGAGCAAGATCAGATAGGAGTGATAGAAGAAAGGATGAGGAGAAGGATAGTGGATAGATCATGGCAACTGGAGATGTCGATTGACATTACATTTGAATAGTTGGAGATTATAGCTCTCAGGGAAACTGGAATAGGGAAGGGAGTTCCACAGGCAAGAGGTGCGAGACATGAAGCTATTGGAGTAGAAGAGATGGCTACATTTAGGAGTTTCGACAGTGAAAGGGTGAGATCGATAGCTGTGCTAGCACAAAGTCACAAGTCATCGTGGCCGAGAGCTTGAGTGTGCTGGCCTTGTTCAAATTATTTTAAATAATATAAGAAGTTGAAGCCTGTATCATAATAATCAATCCAATAATATGCCGTCTGTTTATAGTAAAAATACAAATATAAAATTAAACAAAAATGATTAAAATATGCATTAACCTGTTTCACATGGAACCACTAGCGATCTGTTGTGAAACCTTAGGGTTGAAATTTCTTTGGGATCACATGGTTATATTAATTTGGGGTGGGGGGAGAAACAATTATACTGGGTTGGTTTATTTTGTATTTATTTAGTAAAAATGGGAACATAAGTAGAAAGATCTATGTTAATAAACTCCTCACAATCAAACCAATCCTAGTTGAATGGAAATAAATGTCTAGAAAAGAAGCTATGCTAGCTCAACTGTACATAAGACACACATACCTGACTCATTCATACTTGCTGAAGAAGAAAGATCACCCAACATGCCAAGATACACTCATGGTGAAACACACTTTATATCTGAATGTACTCACTTAGTCCGCGAAATACATAATACTAAAAGGAAAACAACATAAGAAAACTATTTGAAAATACTAAAACTCTCAACATAATGTAACATATAACACCTACAATAGACCATCTACAAATTATATATCTATAATATTATATTAATATATTATTTATTTATATGTATAGGTGACCACTCATATTCGAGGATACCTGTCTACTATGGCGGTTAGCCAATCCCTGTTGCAGACGCTTGCTCAGGCACATCTGTGCTTATTCAACACTAACCTGTAGTTTATACTGCAACTGTGCTAAGCAGATATCAGTTACGGTTTCTGGGAAAGAGCATGTTATCTAGCGTGATCAACAATTTGAACAAGGCTAGCACACTCAAGCTCTCGGCACAGCTATCGATGACGCCCAAGGGTCCCATCTATCCAATTTCACTCACAAGGATTGGGTAAACCTCTAGCATGGTTTTCAGACACTTTCCAAAGGTACCGCATGCTGGGATCAACCCCTTCAGTCCGACAACATCAGGAAGGAAACTTCCTGACAAATCGACCATGGTGAGATTTGAACCCGGGTTTCATTGTCAGGATGCAAACCTTCTAACCACTCGACCACGTGCCCATATATTTATTATTTATTCATATATATTATAAAATATAATATAATATTAATATATCTATAAAACATATGTTTACCTTGAAAGTATAAAATTATGTTTTGTTTTTTTAAGCATTATGCCCCAAGCAAGGCGTGAAGCCACTAGGATGCAGGGGGTTGCAGAAGATTTGGAGCAAGAGCAGATAGGAGTGATAGAAGAAAGGATGAGGAGAGGGATAGTGGATAGATCAAGGTAGCTGGCGGTGTTGATTGACATTACATTTGAATAGTTGGAGATTATAGCTCTCAGGGAAACAGTAATTGGGAAGGGTGTTCCACAGGTGAGAGATGCGAGGTATGAAGCTATTGGAGTAGAAGAGATGGCTACATTTAAAAGTTTCCACAGTGTAAGGGTGGGAGCGGGATGCCAGCCTCGTAGGGTGCTTGAATTCATGGAGTCTGGGAACCAGTGAAAGCAGCTCATCGGAGAAATTACCATGAAAGTATTTGTAGAAAAGACAGAGAGGTGACAGCTCATCTATGAGAGAGTGACTGTAGATGAGATGTCAGATCAGGGCCAGTTATATTACATATCCGTCTCTGGATCTTGTCAAGAACTCTGAGGTAAACAGAAGGTGCCCCAGACCATATATGGCAGCAATACTCCAAATATATGTACAAAATAACTGTAATTGAAGGCATAAGATTGCATAAAAAATGTTTAGATTTTGCCATCAAATAAAGAGAGGTTCATGTGTCGCTAAGCAAAAAAACAACCAACCAAATATATAAGTTACTTTATAAAATTACTTTAATAGGTTTTTGTAAGATTCATGTCACAAGAAGACAAAATATCTGAACATGTAGACCCTTCTCATTCCATATGGAGTCGAGGGTCACAACCTCACCCCTCACTAGTGCTGCTTCTGAGATTTACAAGGCAAGTAGGTATTTTATGGAGTGGAGTCGCTGGCCCCACGTCCAACCAGTTAGCCTTCTACACTAGCAAAATAAGGCTAGACTGCCCGGTCTTTCCTATTGTTTAACCAATAGCTGGAAGAACATCCATACCTCTTCCAAGAGCATATGCACAAAAGCGAATCCAGTGACCTGGGCAGGAATTTGAACTCAGCATTCTGATTCCACTTACAATGCTGATAACCCTCTGTGAGAGACCAGGATGCTGTTCATCAATTCTAATTTACCCTACTTTCCCTCTGAAGCAATTTACAAATTAAATTCATAGGTAAGCAATCCACTAGACAATTGGTGTGTTCAATCCAAGGGCTGTGGAATGGAGAAAAGTCATATAGCTTGGTTCAATGTAAGAAACAGACTATATGTTCTATACTACAGGCATTCTCATGGTGCAACTAAGGATCAGAAGTGGAGGCCTAATTCAAAAGATCATATCCCACTGGAAGTGTTAGAAAGGAAAATAGACTGGAAAGAATTAGCAGATATGAGATATCTCCCCTCAGTATGAAAAACAACATGAGAACTATATACATCTGTGAAGTGAATAAAGTGTTTGGTTCAAAATTCAACAATCATTTGAAGAAAACTGGAAAGTATAACAGCCAACATTTTTTTATATATATATATATATATATATATATATATATATATAGAGAGAGAGAGAGAGAGGGGAATTTCACTTTAGAACAGGGAATTGGAATTTCTACAGTTATCTACACCATATTAAAATACTAAAAATAGAAAAACAAGGGCATCTCGAGACGATGTAATAGTTAGCAAGCTTGGCTCACTAGAACAATTACGACTGAGTAGTGAGTTCGATCCTCACTGGGTGCCCCCTAATTTTGGCCGTGTGCCACATCTAAGCTACGCTTGGAAAATCAGTAGAAAAACAACTTTAAAACCAGCAGAAGATCAAGTGATGCAAGTTAGTTGTTTTGATTGTAAAAGTTGAATAAAAACTTAGGATGTACAAAGGAAGGATTATATATATATAAGGAAAATTATATAAAGATTATAATTTATTATATAAATAATATTAATTTTAAATATTATTAAAATAAAATATTAATATAAATTAATTAATATTCAAAACAATAAAATAAGGATGAGGACAACAGTCCGAACAATGTAAATAATATAAATAAAATATTAATAAAATAAATTTAATATATAAATTATATAAGGATTATATATAAAGGAAGTCTTAACCTGTTCAGCATCAGGAGCAATTTCCAGCAGAACCATCCACTCTGAGGGTGACAAGCAATTCACTTCACATATTTTAAAATGTTTTATTATGAGTTATTTTACTAGTGTACATAAATCTTCCATGGCTCCAGTTGTTAAATACAAGTTTATTTTTTATTAAATTAGTTTTACTTCAAAATAAAGCATATGCATTTCTATAATACAATTCCTAAAATTATCTATTAGTAAAAAATAAAATAAGCTTTTTTCTTTTTTATTCTTTTTCCTCTAATGGTTATACGGGGTGTGGTAAAAACAATTAAGTATAAAAGTGGTCCATGAGTAAAAAAAAAAAAAAGAAAAAAGTTGCAAATCTGACTGTAATCATGATGTTCTAATGCATGATGTTTCTATAGAAGTGGAGGCATTCTCATATCCCACTGGAAGTGATACAGTTTAGTTTTGCTTTTACACTTGGTAGAATCAAATTTATTTATTTTATTTTCTTTGGATTAGTTTTATTATTTTAAGTTTATTGCAAAAACAATGTTTTTTGTGTGAGATTCATTAAGAAAATATTATGATAAACTTTATTTTTTTACAGTAACGCTGTACAAGGCCCGGGAGTCACACAGGGTTATACTAAGGGGTAGTTTATATGGATAGGAGGGGGAAAGATAAGTTAACTCTAGACTTGAATAGATTAAAATTGTAGTGATCAGGGAGACATCCTCTTGGGAGTCGGTTCCACAGGGCAGTGGTTGTGAGAAATTGTTTGAGTGGAACTTACTTTTCACCGATATAATACAGAGAGAATCTGGGTGGTTTGCTACTATGTAAGTGGTATGGGTGGTCGGTCCTAGCCATGAAAGTTAGGACTAGCAGAGCCAAGGAATGTCATTCATCTGAGCACTTTCCATGGAAGTAGTGATAGAGTAGTGAGATGCTTGCCACATTCTGCTTGTGAGGTTGGAAGGTGGAAAATAATTCTTATTCAACAAGGACTCAGAGACACTTTTGAACTCAATCAAGACTGGAAAGTGAGAACTGGACAGCTCCTACCCAAATATGACAACAGTACTCAAATTTCAGCCTGATATGGCTTTTATAAAGGTAGAGGATAGCATGAGGAATTGGGTACTTACTGGGGTGGTACAAGG